TGTCAAGTTGGGTATGCATGTTGTTTAAAGTCTACTAGGTACTTCTGCTTTGTTTTCATCTACTTGCTTGCTTTGATATTGTGGGTTTGATTCTCCATGTGTCTCCCAGCTCAGTGACTCTTTTCTCCCTTGTCTGATGGCCGTCCGCTGACAGTGCTTTTAGCAGATGTGATTTCAGCAGCCTGCTGTGTGTCAGGCACTGGCCTGGAGCTCCTCTTGCTATTCTCCTGCTGCCATCATTTTATTATCATGTGATGATAGTTCCTTATTGTTCTCTCTCTCTTCTCTCTGAACATGGATTTCCTTCATTAAATCTTGCTCACTTGTGGGGTTCCTCCCCTTTTCATTCTCTGCCTGTTTAGTATAAGCCACTCCCATTCACAACAGAATCATGAAACCTTTCTTTAGGGCCCGAAATCTAAAAACTGAACTTAGGCTACATTTATAATTTTCCTCAGTAAGGCCTGTCTTATTCCTTATAGCTACTGATCCTTTTGGCTCCAGATGTTATATATTTGATATTTGGAATAGAGACATGCTATGCTTTTTCTCAACCTACCATATTTTGAGAGGACTGAGTTTCTTTAACAGACTGTGTAACAGCAGCTGTATAAAAAAATGTATAAAAGGGCTGGGCACCGTGGCTCAAGCCTGTAATCCCAGCACTTTGGGAGGCCTAGATAGGTGGGTCACCTAAGGTCAGGAGTTCGAGACCAGCCTGGCCAGCATGGCAAAACCCCATCTCCACTAAAAATACAAAAATTAGCCGGGCATGGTGGTGCGCACCTGTAATCCCAGATACTCAGGAGGCTGAGGCAGGAGAATCACTTAAACACAGGAGGTGGAGGTTTCAGTGGGCCAAGGTCATGCCACTGCACTCTAGCCTGGGTGACAGAGCAAGACTTCATCTCAAAAGAAAAGAAAAGAAAAAGAAATGTATAAAAGGCATGTTTTGAACACACAGGCATGTAGTTGTGCTAAGTACTCAGCAAAGGCTGAGTCGATTTCACAGGCTGACGGAGGAAGACGGAGCTCCCAAAGCTGATGAAGTAACAATCATCCCTCCTTTTTCAATTAAGTAAGAAAATTTTTCCTGGAGGAAAGGGCAGTGGGGGGGCGCTGTTTGGGAAGAAGTGATGACCTGCTGGTTCTCTCAACAGTCCTAGGAGTTACAGAAAGCAAGGCCAAAAAGAGTTGGTAACTTTCCCAAGTCCTCACAGCTGTTAAGGAAGCATGTTGCTTGGGAATTTTGTTGGTCTTCAATGTTACAAAGCCCTGAAAAGTAGGGAAAGCACACAAGGTTTTACTCTGTCTTATAGGTCTGCCCTGCACGTGCTGCATGGAGGCAATTCAGGGTTGCTGTGGGGGCTGCACAGAATCAACTGGGAGCCAGGCGTCTTCAGCTCGGCGGTGTAGCCCTATTCTCAGGTTCAACGTGGCTGCTGGCATGCTGGCTGTCACATCCACATGATAGGTAGTAGGATGGAGGAAAGGGAGAGGGAGGGGGTGTCCCTTTCCTTTTGAGGCACTGTCTTTGGTCAGTTTCTCTAAGAAAACAGACTCTGGGCTAAGGATTTGGTAGGAAATGATTTATCAAGGAAGTGCTCCCAGAAAAAACTAGTAGGAATGTGAGGAGATTGATGAGAAATGGGAAAAGCCAAACACGGTTATTTTATGGAGCATAAATTACACCTTAGAATTTGGCCCTCCTTGGGGCAAAGGAACTGGGTTTATTTGTTTATTTATTTTTGAGATAGAGTCTTACTCTGTCACCCAGGCTGGAGTGCAATGCCTGGGTTTCGGCTCACTGCAACCTCTGCCTCTCTGGTTCTAGAGATTTTCCTTCCTCAGCCTCTGGGATTACAGGCGCCCAACACCACACCTGGCTAATTTTTGTATTTTTAGTAGAGACGGGGTTTCACCATGTTGGCCAGCTGGTCTCGAACTCCTGACCTCATGATCTGCCCGCCTCGGCTTCCCAAAGCGCATGAGCCACCTTGCCAGGCCAGAACTGGGTTTTTATACTCCCACACCAGCCAACCATTGGCTGTGGTTGGTGGGGGTAGATGGGCCTACACCACCAGGTCTTGGCTGTGTGCAGTCACAGGTGTAAGCCATTAGCGGTAGAGCCTGCAGCAGCTGGGAGCTGGACTCACAAGGCTGGAGGGGCTTAGAGGAATCTGGATGGGGCACAGTGTGTAAAGGACTTCTCAGAAATTCCAGTTACTTCCCCTTATATTTCATTGATCTGAACTTTGTCAAATGGCTGCAAGAATGGCTAAGAAATGAAGTCTTTATTCCAGCCAGTAATGTGTCAGAAAACAGTACCCGGGAACTCAGAAAGAAAAAGATCCTGGCTCCTGAAGCCCCTGGGAAGAACTCTGCAAGCCCTACGTAGGTCATGTTTTCATGACAAACTCTTAACGAGTGAGGTCAAGGTCAACGTCCACCTCTGGTGTGAGCAGGGAGCGGGCGTGTTGGGAGGTAGAGAAGGAAAGGTAGAGAATGGAAGGTAGAGAAGGAAACAGGTCTCAAAGCAGAAGACTCTTCGTAGTGAGCGAGAGGAGGAAGGGTTGTTCGTGGACACATTAGTGAGGGTCACTTGCCGGACAATGCTCCTGTTGTCAAAACGGGATACCAAAGTGAGCATGGCTTGAGGGATCGCGAGTTTTGAAGGTATTGAATTTAAGGAGCCTTTGGGACCTTGGAATGGAGACAATCCATAAACAACTGGAGGCCAGGTGTGGTGGCTCAGACCTGTAATCTCAGCACTTTGGGAAGCTGAGGAGGGAGGATCGCCTGAGCTCAGGAGTTCAAGACCAGCCTGGCCAAAATGGTGAAAACACATTTCTATTAAAATACAAAAAAAAAAAAAAATTAGACTGGCATGGTGGCGGGTGCCTGTCATCCCAGCTACTTGGATGGCTGAGGCAGGAGAATTGCTTGAACCCTGGAGATGGAGGTTGCAGTGAGCTGCAATTGCACCATTGCACTCCAGCCTGGTCAACAGAGTGAGACTCCATTTCAAACAAATAAACAAACAAACAAACAAACAAACCACTGGGGAAAAAAGAGTCTGAAGCTCAGGAGAGACGTTAGGACTGGAGGCTCCAGATGTCAAACAAATGTTTTGTTGGTAATTTGTTAGGAGGGTGGGATCAGGAACAACAGGTTTTCAGACTTGCTTTGATATTTGCAGCCGTCATCCTCTTACAACAGCAACAGTAATAAAACTCAGCATTGTTTTTTCTCTTTCTTCTATCCTCAGCCCCAGGGTTTCCCATTAGGATACTCCTCACCCAGACTGCCTGGGATCACCTGTTTTGGATTCCCTAGGGCTAAGAGAAACCCTGAGTAACTAACCCGCCCATGTCCATTTCCTTTAAAACAATCTGTGACCCTGGAGCCAGGTTTCTCCCCTTCAACACAGCTGGCATTTTGGACCAGAGCATCCTCTGTGGTGGGGCAGTGCTGTGCATCGCTGGGTGTTTAGCACCATCCCTGACACTGTTGTAGTGTGCCCCTACTTGTTTCAACCAAAACTCTCTCCACATGCCCCCTGGGGGAGAATGACTGCCCTAAAGGGAACACAAGGACGAGAATCTGCCAGAAGAAAGAGTTTTTGGTTCTGTTTTTTCCAGCAAACCTTTCAGGCTTAAAGACCAAAGAGAGGAATAAGCCAAGCCCAGGTTTCAGAAAGTGAAAATATGTGGTGATTTTCATTAGTTGAGAAGTTCTAGGCAAAATTTTGAAACACAAGATTTTGAGTGTGTGGTCCTCTCTCCCCAAACTTTAATTTCAATTATTAACTGCAAGGGTGGGTTTTTCTTTTTAAAAATACATTTTCCATTAAAAAATCCTTAATATTTAGGCATTTGGATGCATTTTCAAATCATTTTAAAGTATTGAAAGTAAAAAACCAGCCTCCCTTTGCTCCTCCATCCTCCCCAGAAATAACCAACTCGAAGAGTTGGCTGTGGATCCTTCCAGAATTGTTTTTTCATCTACAAACACGTAAGTCCAAGCATACACACATGAGTTCCTTCACACATATATGTACTTCTTCATGTATTTTTTTACAAATTCATTGTTTATACCTACTGATGGCTCTTTTTAAATAGCTTTATCAATGTAGAATTCACATACCATAAAATTCATCTATTTAAAGTGTACAATTCAGTGGTTTTTTTAGTATATTTAGAGAGTTTTTCAGCCATCACCACCATCAATTTTAGGACATTTCAAGTTCCAAACAAAAAAACCTCATACCCTTTAGCGTTTTCCCCATTATGGTTTAATATGGTTCGTCTCCACTATAACGCCTGTTGAGCTTGGTCCCAGTGCGGCAGTGTTGGGTGGGGAGGCGCCTTGAAGGATGATTAGGTCGTTAAGATGGATTAATGTCTTTCTCTCTAGACTGGGTTAGTTCTCTCAGGAATGGATTCCTTCCAGTGAGAGTGGATTGTTGTAAAGAGACGTTGCCTCTCATATTTTCCTGGTTCCCTTTCCATTTCTCCACCATATTTTGATTCAGTGTGAAGCTCTCACCAGAAGCCACTAGATTCAGTTGCTCAATCTTGAACTTCCCAGCCTGTAAAACCTGTTTTCTTTTCTGAGACAGAGTCTTGCTTTGTTGCCTGGGCTGGAGTGCAGTGGCATGATCTCAGCTCACGGCAACCTCTGCTTCCTGAGTTTAAGTGATTTTCCTGTCTCAGCCTCCCCAGAAGCTAGCGCTATAGACATGTGCCACCATGCCCAGCTAATTTTTTTTTTTTTTTTTTTTGAGAGAGAGAATTTTGTCATGTTGGCCAGGCTGGTCTCAAACTCCTGACCTTAGACGATCTGCCTGTGTCTGCCTCCCAAAGTGCTGGGATTATAGGCATGAGCCACCATGCCTGGCCCCCTCTTTTCTTTATTAATTACCTGGTCTCAGGTATTGTGTTATAGCAAAACGAAATGAACTAAGACACTCTCTATCCCCTCCAGCCTTAGGCATCCACTAATCTACTTTCTGTTCCTATAGATCTGCCTTTTTTGGACATTGCATATAAATGGAATCATACAACGTGTGGTCTTTTGTGACTTTTTTCACTTAGCATGTTTTCTAATGAGCTATGTTGTAGCATGTATTAACTTCCAAAATGGCTATCACATTTTATGTTCCCACTAACAGTGTACAAGGGTTCCAATTTCTCCACACCCTCTCCAACACTTTTACTATCTCTCCTTGGATGTGAAATAGTATCATATTGTGGCTTTGATTTGCATTTCTCTAATGACAAATGATATTGAGCATCTTTTTGTGTGTTTACTGGCCATTTGTATACTATCTTAAAAGAAAGGTCTGTTCAGATTCTTTCCCCATCTTTTAATTGGGTTATTTGTCCTTTTATTACTGAGTTATGAAAGCGCTTTATATATTCTAGATTCAGGTCCATTAACAGATATATGATTTGCCAATATTTCCCCCCTCCTGTGGGTTGTCTTTTCACTATATTTTTGATATTCATTGAAGCATCAAAGTTTTAAATGTTGATGAAGTCCAATTTATTGGATAAAGTTCTATTTTCTCTTTTGTTGCTTATGCTTTTAGTGTCGTATTATAAGAAACCATTACCTAATCCAAGATCATGAAGATTTATGCTTATGTTTTCTTCTAAGAGTTTTATGGTTTTGCTCTTACATTCAGGTTATTGATCCATTTTGAGTTAATGTTTGTACATGGTGTGAAATATGAGTCTGCTGTGGTTTCAGTGTTTGTTTCTTCCAAAACTCACATGGAAATTTAATTGCCGTTGTAACAATATAAAGAAGTGGCATCTTTAAGAGGCGATTAGGTGGGCCAGGCGCGGTGGCTCATGCCTATAATCCCAGCACTTTGGGAGGCCAAGGCAGGTGGATCACCAGGTCAAGAGATCAAGACCATCCTGGTCAACATGGTGAAACCCCATCTCTACTAAAAATACAAAAATTAGCTGGACATGGTGGCACACACCTGTAGTCCCAGCTACTCAGGAGGCTGAGGCAGGAGAATTGCTTGAACCCAGGAGGCGGAGGTTGCAGTGAGCCGAGATAGTGCCATTGCACTCCAGCATGGGTAACAAGAGCGAAACGCTGTCTCAAAAAAAAAAAAAGAGGTGGTTAGGTGATGAGGGCTCTGTCCACATGGATGGGATTAATTGTGTTATAAAAGGGCACGTTTTCCCTCCTTCTTTCTCTCCTTGCCCTTCCACGATGTGATGTATTCCCTCGTGTGACAAAAAGCAAGAAGGCCCTTTCAAGCTGTCAGTGTCTTGATCTTAGACTTCCAAGCCTCGAAATTCTAAGGAATCAATTTTTGTTCTTTGCAAATTACCCAGTCTGTAGTATCTTGTTATAACACCATAGAATGGACTAAGACAGGATCCAACTTAATTCTTTTGCATATAAATATCCAATTGTTCCAGGATCATTTGTCGTAAAGACTATTCTTTAGCACACTTGACAAAAGTCAATTAGCCATAAACATGAAATTGATTTCTGGACTCTCAATTCTACTTCATTGACCTGTCTATCCTTATTGCAGTACCTTGATTACTGTGGCTTTGTAGTAAATTTTGAAATCAGGAAGTGTGAGTCCTCCAATGTTGTTGTTTTCCCTCAAGATTGTTTTGGCTATTCTGAGTCCCTTGAACTTTATGTGACTTTTAACATCAGTTTATCAATTACTACAAAGAAGACTTGCATTGAATCAATTTGGGGAATTTTGCCATCTTAACAATATTAAGTGTTCTAGTCTATGAACATGGGATGTCTTTCCATTTATTTGATTCTTTAACTTCTTTAAACAATATTTTATAGTTTTTTGGAGCATAAGTTTTGGACTTTAAAAAAAATTTCTTAAGTAATTATTTTAGTGTTATTGCAAATGAAATGGTTTTCTTAATTTTATTTTGAATTGTTTATTGCAAGTGTGTAGAAATGGAATTAATTTTTGCATGTTGGTCTTGTATCCTGTGGCCTTGCTACGCTACTGTATTAGTGCTAATAATTTTCAGTCAATTCCTTAGGAGTTTCTACATATATGAATATGTAATCTATGAATAGAGATAGTTTTAATTCTTTCTTTCCAATCTGGATTTCTTTTATTTCCTTTATTTCATGCTTGACTAGAACCTCCACTGCAATGTTGAAAAGAGATGATAAGAGTGGACCTCCTTATCTTATTCCGGATCTTGAGGAAAGTTTCAGACTTTCACTATTGAGTATGAAATTAGTTTTGTAGATGGCCTTTATCAGGTCAAGAAAGATCCCTTCTGTTTCTAGTTTGTTGAATGTTTTCATCACAAAGAGCTGTAGATTTTTGCCAAATTCTTTTTCCGCATCTATTGAGATGATCAGGTGGTTTTATTTTTGTATACTATTGATATAATGTTTTGCATTAATTGATTTTTATTTACTTATTTATTTTGAGATGGAGTTTCACTGTGTATCCCAGGCTGGAGTGCAGTGGTGCCATCTTGGCTCACTGCAACTTCCTGCCTCCCAGGTTCAGGTGATTCTTTTTCCTCAGCCTCCAGAGTAGCCAGGATTACAGGCATGTGGTACCACACCCAGCTCATTTTTTCTATTTTTAGTAAAGACGGGGTTTCGCCATGTTGGGCAGGCTGGTCTTGAACCCCTGGCCTCGGGCGATCCACCTACCTCAGCCTCCCAAAGTGCTGGGATTACAGGTGTGAACCACTGTGCCCAGCCTGATTTTTAGATATTAAATCAATCTCAGACTTCTGGGATAAATCCTACGTGATTATGGTGTATAATATATGTTGCTGTATTTGGTTTGTTTTTGTTTGTTTGTTTAGGATATGTTTAGGATTGCATCAGCGTTCAAAAAAAAAAATAGGCCAGGCACGATGGCTTACTCCTGTTATCCTAGACTTTGGGAGGCCAAGGTGGGTGGATCACCTGAGGTTAGGAGTTCGAGACCAACCTGGCCCACACGGCAAAACACCATCTCTAGTAAAAATACAAAAATGAACCAGGCTTGGTGGCATGTGCCTATACTCCCAGCTACTCAGGAGGCTGAGGCAGAAGAATCACTGGAACCCGGAAGGCAGAGGTTGCAGTGAGTGGAGATTGCACCATTGCACTCCAGCCTGGGTGACAGAGTGAGACTGTCTGGAAAAAAAATTGTGTGTGTGTGTGTGTGTGTGTGTGTGTGTGTGTGTGTATACACATACATATATGCATATGTAGGTATGCATATATGTATGTGTATATATAAGTGTATATACACACACACATTAAACAATATTTTAATGTACACACATATGTATGTATATATGTATGTGTATATATGTATATGTGTATATATATGTATATTCATCTACCTTTTTTCTTTTTTTGTGCCCTTTGTCTTGTTTTGATATCAAGATAATACTATAGATCTGTAGAATTAGTTGGGACATGTTCATTCATACTTCTTGTATCTTTCTGAGGTTGCCCAGGGTACATAAGCATGGTATGGATGTTCATTAATTTAACCATTCCTCCTATTGTAAGACATAGGTTGTTCCTAATTATTTTCTTGCGCAACTGCTTTATAAACCATATTTTCATTGTAATATTTAAATTTTAAATATGTATAGGTATTGCCAAGTTTTGGAGAATTTTTAAATTTAAATATTGTTAGTTAATTTGCAAGAGCCTTATTCTCACAGCTAACGCATACTATATTTTTTCTGTCATGTGATACTACACTAAGAGCTCTACATAAGCTTTCATCCTGTGAGGTTGTTATTTCATTTCATATATATATATATATATATATATATATATGTGTGTGTGTGTGTGTGTGTGTGTGTGTGTGTGTGTATTTGTATATTTTAAATTGAGATGAGGTCTCACTGTGTTGCCCAGGCTGGTCTCAAACACTTTGCCCAGGCTCTTATTTCATGTTTAATAATAAAGCACATTTAATGTGTCACACATTTGTTATTATTTTCCCCCATTCTATAGGTGAGAAAACTGAAGCACAGAAGTTACATAGCTTGCCCAAAGTCACACAGCTAGTAGGTGGTAAAATTTGATTGAGACTTTGTTCAGCCATGATTTAAATTGGGAGAAGTGGTGGGTAGCCTCCAAGATGGTCAAAATTCTAGTGAAAACTGAAATAAAACTTATGGCCCCAGTTCAGTATTTCTTTTTTTTTTTTTAATTATATTCTAAGTTCCGGGGTACATAGGCGGGATTGTTACATAGGTAACAATCTTGCAGGATTGTGACATAGGTATACACTTGCCATGGTCGTTTGCTGCCTCCATCCCCTCATCACCTACATTAGGTATTTATCCTAATGTTATCCCTCTCCAACCTCCCTACCCCCTGCTATCGCTCCCCTAGCCCTCCACCCCCGAACAGGCCCCAGTGTGTGATATTCCCCTCCCTTTGTCCATGTGTTCTCATTGTTCAACACCCACTTATGAGTGAGACAATGTGGTGTTTGATTTTCTGTTCTTGTGTCAGTTTGCCGAGAATGATGGTTTCTGGATTCATCCATGTCCCTGCGAAGAACATGAACTCATCCTTTTTTATGGTTGCATAGTATTCCATGGTGTATATGTGCCACATTTTCTTTATCCAGTCTATCCTTGATGGACATTTGGGCTGGTTCCAAGTCTTTGCTATTGTAAACAATGCCGCAATGAACATACATGTGCATGTGTCTTTATAATAGAACGATTTATAAACCTTTGGGTATATACCCAGTGATGGGATTGCTGGGTCAAATTGTATTTCTATTTCTAGATCCTTGAGGAATCACCACACTGTCTTCCACAATGGTTGAACTAATTTACACTCCCACCAACAGTGTAAAAGTGTTCCTACATTCTCTCCAGCATCTGTTGTCTCCAGATTTTTTAATGATTGCCATTCTAACTGGTGTGAGATGGTATCTCAGTGTGGTTTTGATTTGCATTTCTCTAATGACCAGCATTTTTTCATATGTTTGTTGACTGCATAAATGTCTACTTTTGAAAAGTGTCTCTTCATATCCTTTGCCCACTTTTTGATGGGGTTGTTTTTTCTTGTAAATTTATTTTAGTTCTTTGTAGATTCTGGATATTAGCCCTTTGTCAGATGGGTAGCTTGCAAAAATTTTCCCATTCTGTTTGTTGCCGGTTCACTCTAATGATTGTTTCTTTTGCTGTGCAGAAGTTCTATTTTGGCTTTTGTTGCCATTGCCTTTGGTGTTTTAGATATGAAGTCTTTGCCTATGCCTATGTCCCGAGTGGTATTGCCTATGTTTTCTTTTAGGGTTTTTATGGTGTTAGATCTTTA